GGGGGGGGGGCGAAGCCACATAAGCCTCCAAGGTCTAAGTCCAAGGCCGGCACAGCAATTAAGCATATCTTCGGAGAGGACCTCGTACGCCACTTTAATTCGTCTCGTCATGAGGCAGTAGACGAGAGGACGCACGCGACCATGGGAAAGACAATCAATGTATTGTGTGCATACGTTCCAAGAGCGTTGACACGGTCTTCACGTGCATCAACCACATTGTAACGTCGTTCACTTGCTTGAGGTTAACGTCCGTAAAAGAGATTAGGAGACGAGCTCCGTCTCCGCATATGCAGTCGCAACGTAGGTACTACTGTCCCTCTCTTGGTCCTGAACTCGCATTCAATGTTGAGTTGCTCTGCAGGTTCGCGTGGAAAGTCCGCTTCTCTCTTTCGTCTAGCGAGCTTGCGCAAGGCTTCGTTTCATTGTATACGTATTCCCTCGAAGACGCTGCTACACTAGCCGTGACTTTCTGTACAATCTACACGGGAGCCTCGTCTGAGCATGTCGTAAGAGCCTTTATATCTTTCTTCTCGCACACGAAGAACCTTAGCATTGCAGACATCCGGGGCGTTACTGCAGCAGGGCAGTATCTTCGAAACGATTTTGTGAACATATTCTGTGAAATGATCGGTAATCAGTCTGGGGTTGCACTCATTTTGGTTTTCAATCCCCCTGTAATGCTTTGTAGCCAAGACATTTGTCAAGCACGTACAAGTGACCATCAAATTTGCAGCTAAATTATTTTTTCTCTTTTGTGAACATTCGGCAACCGCGACCTCAATCATTCCTTTCGTACACCACCAAAGAAACTAATGTTGCGCACTGCTCTGGCATTCTTGCGTATACACTGTGCAGTGCTGTTTTCTTTCTCGTCAACCAGAACTCTCTTGTTTGCCTAATATACATTAAAGATTGCAATAAAACGAAAATTTTATACCAGTTTGATATGCAGCGGCTGGCTGTACTACGCGCAAAAAGCCTTCTGGGGCTACAATGTGCTGTGCATGACACACGCGCGACTATGTGATGGCAATGAAATATTTTACTCTCATGGAAGTGATAGCTGAGTGTCAACTGAAAGAATTCAGATTACATAAAACAGAACAAAAAATTCAAACACAGCTCATACATGTCTGATCACTCAATCATTGGCATTCAGACATGTGTGACGGTTGTACCCCAACCCTGGTCCCGGGATTCCTTTTGGGCGAGAGCGAGTGTGAAGACCGGCGAACAGGTACAACAGGTTTAATTGCAAGAAATCGGAGGGAGGGTCGGTGACACAGGGGCTCACGGTTTGTTGATGACGTGCTCGTTGACGACGGGCAGACCGGGGCTCCCGCGTAGAGTCCGCGTTCTTGCGTTGACCACGGGCCTGTTGGCGACTGGCAGACCGGGGCTTTTGCGTTGACGACGTGCTTGTCGAGGCGTTCAGGACACCGCAGGGGCAGGCAGACTGGGGCTCCCGTGTAGAGTCCGGGCTGGCTGGCGATGGGAGTCGTGGCAGTTGCGTGGAAGGCGTTCGTCAAAATGTTGTTTCCGCCCCAGGACTCAGCACGGCATTCCTTCTTTGTCTTATTCACACTGGCCGCTGGCCACGCGTCCAAAGTCAATCAACGCGCCCGTCCAACTCCTTCCCTCAACATCCCACCGACGGCCGTCGAGTGGCTTTCGTCTTTCTCCTTCTCCTTTCCTTCCATTCTGCCATTGTTCCGGACGGGCACGGAATGCGAAAAAACCCGTATGGTCTCTCCGAGGTTGCAGGCGCGCTGTTTCTTGTTGTGCCACACCCCGGGCCCGCGAGGCACTTATTCTCGGAACACGTGAATGTCACACCCCGGCTTCGCGAAACACCGGCCGTGTCGGAACTCCCGATCGTCACACATGTCAGAGTTTACACTTTTAGGGGTTATGAGATTACAGCATTTTGATTTTTCGGCGTTCTAATTTTTCAAAGTTTTGATTTTTCAGCGGTTTAATGATCGGCCTTTTTCTAATTCGGCATTTCGATATTCGGCGTGGTGATAGGAAACCTCCAAAAATACCGTTTTATCCTATACGAGCCCAACAAAAAAGTATCTCAAATTAAAATAAAATTACTGGAGGATTCATTGGTGGATTTGGGGAATCCGTTAGCATGACCGTGGGGAACGCCACAAACGTCCCTATTTAGGAAACACTAACGCTAACACTTTCACTTGTTTCTGTTCGCTTTCTCTTTTGCTTCCCGTATTTTTGCTGCCTCCTTTTGACCTCGTTGTGGGATCAGTGTTAGCGTTTCTCATAGGGGGCGTGTGTGGCGTTTCCCGAGGGTCATACTAACCAATTCCCCAAGAATCCACTAATAAATCATCCTATAATTTTTACTTTTTTTTTGCACTCTGCTCCTTAGAGTTCGTCGACGCTCTTGGATACGGCCATCCATATCACTCGTGGGAAGTACCACAACCATACCACTCGTGGAAGGAACCGCATCCATGTCACTCGTGGAGTGAACCTCCATCCATCGTCCTAACTACACACACACATCACAGCCCACGCTCCCCTACTACGGAAACCCAGGAGCGATGAACATCCGGCGATAGCAGGGCGGCAACTAAGCACGCCCTCATTCCACCACGCCGCGGCGCAACACCTCCTAGATATCAAAGCCGTAGTGCTGAATGAGATGGCGTCCTCCGAGAAGGCCAACTCTGGGTACAGATTGGACACGAAGGCTGCGTCAACGTTCGGCTCAATCTTGACTCGAAACTGAGCGCTGACGCAGCACTCCTTTTCAATCTGTGTCCAGTGTTGGCCCTCTACGATAAAGCCATCTGGTTCATCACCGCGGCTTTGTTATTTAGAAGGTATTGCGCGGCGCCTCCTCCTCTCTGGCTCCACGCCAGATGAGCCTGTGACTTGGCCGAAAACGAAAGGGCCCGTATTGAACAACACCCGGAGGATTCTGTCAGTTTGTCAGCGCCAGAGAGAGAGGGAGAGATTGACGCATGGTAACGTCAGCGCTTCGGACAAATGGGAGCGTCGCACGGGACAACGGACAAACAAGAGACCGCCGGGTTTTCGTCATAACGACCGTTCTAATGCTAACGCAGTAAAGAAACTTGCCAGCATTATTCTGATGCCACCGGGAAGCACAGAATGTCTCGCGCGTGTATTATGCCTGCGTTATGATTTGCTATGCTTGGTTGCCGGAAGCTTTGGGTGGTTACGGATGCGCTGCACGCACGACACTCTTGTGACCACCGGGCTTATAATAATGATCAAGCAAGTTTAATTTTTTTTCAGGAGTTCATTCAGTGTGTCACGAGCATGTTTTCATGATATATTTTTCACGGGTTTGTGCTTCTTTACTGGGTGTGTGTAAGGCAAGGTCTTGAACTCTAATTGCACTTGGATTGTAATGGGCCACTTGTTTTAACTGAAATACCCGAGAGGGCCGGAAGGTTATCATGCCCTTCACTCTATCATTTGGCTTTTGCCTGAAGTTCTGACGTCATGCGCTTGCAGTGCCATCTCTTGGTACGTTGTGATTCACACCCTGATGTGAGTCCCCGGAGGAAGCTACGCTTTTTTGAAACCAGCTTCTCGCGCCGGAGGTCGCATGCGGGGCTCAGTATGCTGAACGAAGTATCACTCACCGCCGACAATGTCTCACGTCTATACTTCCTTTCACTTCAAGTATGATCCCAATCGACGCCACGATTCGATGGGGTCAGCAAAAGTAGTGTACAAATGTGCACCATCACGACGCTTCTTGCCTGGGAACTTTATTCATTAGCTTCTAAACTAGTCATGCATACTAAAAGCACCGTGATCAAGCAATCTTTTGTGGGATTAATTTAGTTTGCGATGGCAAACGCGCATAAAAAGCTGGCCCCGTGACGATGCACTCTTTGCACTCCTGGATTGTCTCCATCGAATTGACGCGTCGGCTGTGATTGGATTTAAGCGTAATTATGTTGAACGAAATAAGACTCGCCACCTACGGTACCTGCGAACTTAGTATGCTGGAATAGGTATGCCAAAAATGCCGCCTGCGAAGTAAGTATGCTGGAATAGGTATGCCAACTGTCGACTACGAACTAAGTATGCTGGACTAAGCATGACTCGCGGCCAGCGATTGCGTGCGGTCCAAGTGTGTTCGACTCAGAATAACTCGCATCCGACTTTTGCTTGCGGACAAAGTATTCCATGGAATGTGTTTGTATCACAGCCAGCAGTCGCCTGCGCACACAGTGTCCTGGAAGTATGACTGGCATCCGCATAGCCGCCTGTGGGTTATGTACACTGGACTAAGTATGACTAAGCATACCTAGTCAGCAGAGGACCGTCGCCGCCGACGGTCCTCTGCTGACTAGGTATGCTCGACTAAGTATAACCCACCAGCGCCTGTAGCCCGCGGAGTGAGTATGTTAGGGGCAGACTGTAACTGCATACTAAGTAGGCTAAGTGTAACTAGGCTCCGATCGTTGTCTCCAGGCTAAGTTTTCTAGGCACAGTATAAAGAGCCGTAGACGTTTGCGTGCTACTGCAGGCGACCGTCAGTGGCAAGTCATACTTACCTTGCGCTCTCATTCATCTTCTACTTGTGGCGCAGAGCAGAGATGCTCGATTCCCGCCGAGTTTCTTGGGGAATGTCGCCGTTTTCGGCTGTGTGTTCCTGATTACAATCATGTATCAACTGTTATTAGTAATTATGTGCTTTGGGTGCTTATGCATTGTGTGCGACGGGTTAAGCATCCTTCACGCTGCCTCGGCTAGCGTGTAACGCTTTCTCACCACACTTGAGCGTTAAACTTATTTCAGAAATCCAACCCAGAAACATGTTTGCGCTAAAAGACCAATCGAATTACCTTAAATGGACTTACTCAAAAAATGCGTCTCCACGCCAGAACCTTTTGCCCATGTTAAAAAAAGTACGGTTGAATGGACAAAATGTATTTTTGGTGCTGGCACCCTATTCAGGGTATGTATACTATTTGTTTTTCTTTTTACAGATGACGTGCCTGAATCCGAAGGTACGTGTTCCAGAATTATTATTCTCGTATATAATTTTTTGGCAAGCTTGGTGTCTGACGTGTGACTCAGTTAATAATAATAATAATAAGCAGAAGAATGTTACAAATAATTTTATAATTATAATTTCTGAGTGCACATGAAACCCCCGCCGGTCTTCTCTTATGTGCAAAAATACAGGGAATATTCAAAGGTGGTGAGCAGTACAAACAAGATAAAGGTCATGAAGCGAACATACACTGAGCTCACAAAATGCCAACAAGCCCTTCCATTTGCTTCCTGAAAAAAGTGATGTCGCTGATTCGATTTATTATATCATTATACAAGCGAATGAAAAGCGACTGTATATGGGTATAATGCGACTAGAAATACAGGTTAGGAACAGAAAAGGTATATTAATTTCTAGTTGAAAAAGATGGGACAAGCATCATACTATTTTCCACTATTCTATTTCCTAGCTTGTACAAAAAGGTTAGGTCACGGACTTCTCTAGAGTATATTTTTCTACGATTCTATTTCCAAGCTTGTACAAAAAGGTTAGGTCACGGACTTCTCTAGAGTATATAGACGTTGGCAAGAAAAGCGCCTTGGCGCCGCCACCTTGCTGCTGGTGTGAATAGATCGTCTGATAGTGAAGCATCGCTAAGGCCCGTGGGTGCGCCTCAGCAATGCTTGACTCTCAGATGATGTATCCGGATCATCACCACGATGGCGGCGCCCAGAGGCCGTACTTACAAACGCCTTTAGGGTACTAAAAAAACGTTATTAGGAAAATCATGCAGATCACTTTTTGTGACGTCCGCCATGTTAAATTTTCACGTAGTTGAATTGGGGCAAATTAACAAGTCATTTTATTTGCCGACTGGAAGGCACTAGAATGAAGGGGTTCGGGCCATTCTTATCTACATAAACACTTTAGCTCTGGTGTGCTGAGGCAACTTATCAGCGCTTCAAACCCCTTCAGCTCATCAGACCCTCCATCCTTTTTAACCCTCTCACCCTTCAACCGTTTAGACGCCCAAATTACTTCACGCTAGACCAAAAACGCAGTTTAAAGCGTTATTGGAAATGTAATTTTCACCTTGAGTTTTACATGCATGTTACAACTCAAAAAGACGATAAGAACCAACGTTAACTAAAACACGGGCGCAAGTAGCTCTAGACAGAAGTGATCAAACCAAACAGGGACAACCACGAACGCACCACCATTATCTGCCGCTCTTGAGAAATCCTGACCACAGTCATGGTGTCGGAACATCGTGACGTCGCGGTGGCTTCTTTGCCGTTCTTTTCGATCGCTGGATGCTTTTGAAGTTGGACGGACGAAGAGGCGCAAGAAAAAGGAGAGGGGGGCAGGGTGCGTTGAGGGACATTGATCCGCACATCTAAACTGCTCTAGAAGATGGATCCCACGCATGGACGGGAAGCCACCACTGAGCGCCCGCTCGTTTGAAGCGCATTCATTTTCAGCTCGTTGACGGTGAAAAAACAGGGTGACCAGCTTCTGATGGAGGCTGTATTTCGACTGACTCAAACTGGTTCTCTTGAAAGAAACAGCTAAAAGTTCCCCTTCCATTTTCCCCACGCATCCTCCCTGCTTCGTGAGCGAGGACTGAGCGTCCTGGGGCGTCGGAAAAACGCCATCTCTTTCTATCTATTTCTCAAATCCAGCCCGCGAAACACAAACACATAGCACAGAGAAACAGCAGTAGAGGACAGGGGAACGTCTCCAGAATTTCCAATGCTCATTGAGACCGCCAGGTACAAAATGATTAAGCGGCTTCACCGGCGCATATATGCTGTGGGGTCACTTGATCTTTCTCACAGACACGTTACGACGACTTTGAAGGGTGCTGTTGTTTCGCGGAAAGGATTGAGACAGGACCCACAAGGCCTCTCGAAAACCTGTGGCAGTCTCCTACCAACTTTAGGGATTCCTAGAGCGTACATGAGGCCCCTTAAAACACTGACGAAATTCTCAAACCCGTCAAATATTTTAGAGCGCGGCTCCGAGGCGTCCGTTTCCGGCTTGGGCGGCGTCGCCTTCGTTGTAACCGCATGGTGCATTATGGGAAATGTCCCATAATGCACCGCGCGGGGAGGAGCAGAAGGGAAGAGGAGGGGGGGAGAGGAAGGAGGACGAGGAGGAGGAGGAGAGAGGACGAGGGAGAGGGTAGAGGGAGGAGAAAGAAGGAAGAGAGGAGGGGAGGAGGGGGAGGATGAGGAGGGGGAGGAGGAGGAGAGGGATTGAGCTTGAAGGACGAGGGGAGAGGAAGGAAGGAGGAGGAGTATACCCTCCCTTCAGTAACTTTCCCTCCTTCTCCTGAAAAGCTGCGCTCCAATTCGGCATTACAGGGTGTTGTAAACGTCTAACTTTTAGATATATAGATAGATGATATTTATTGAAGCATGGAGAGGTAAGCCGGAGTTCTTGCTTTCTCTGGCTGGCAACTCCGTGGGGAAAGGTAGAGGGGAATAAAGACGATTAGAAGAGTAAGACACGCGCACATACACCACACACAAAGGTACACACTCAAAGTTGATCGATCAGTCCGGTGTCTTCGACAAACTTTTGTAGAGCTTTTAAGACGATGCGTTGATGCCGCTTGATCTTCGGTGGGCCTAGGACTTTTTTTTTTTTTTTAATTGAACGGTCTGGGGTCCGGCTGGTGAAGTCGGTCTTAAAGGGTGTTGTAAGCGGCTTTCATTTTTCTAAAGGGTGCGTCAAAACATTTCAGATGCCGTCGTGATTCTCGAACAGATTTTCAAAAGGATTTGGTTCTTCTTTTTTTATCGTGCTTTTAGAGCGCAGCTCTTAGGCGCCAGTTTCTGGCTTGAACGGCGTCGGCGTCGCCGTCGCCGTCGGCGTAACCGCGCGGTCAATTATAGCTAAATTTTCCCAAAGTAGCCCGAGGTCCTCCCGAAGGACCTCGGGTTCCTTCGGGAGGACCTCGGGAGAACCTGGGGTTCCTTCGGGACGACCTCGGGAGGACCTCAGATTCCTTTGGGAGGACCTCGGGTTCCTTCGGGACGACCTCGTTTTCCTTCGGGACGACCTCGGGAGGACCACGGGTTCCTTCGGGACGACCTCGGGAGGACCTCGGGAGGACCACGGGTTCCTTCGGGAGGACTTCGGGAAGACCTCCGGTTCCTACGGGAGTACCTCGGGAGCACCTCAGGTTCCTTCAGAAGGGCCTCGGGAGGACCTCGGGTTCCTTCAGGAGGACCTCGGGTACTTTCGGTGACCTCGGGAAGGGGGGGTCACATGACCCCCCAGGTCACGTGACCTCCCCTGAGGTCATGTGACCCTACCCCCCCCCCCCCCCCCTCAGTACCCTTCCCTACTCCTCCTAAAGAGCTGCGCTCTAATTTGGCGTTACAGGGAGTTGTAAGCGGCTTTCACTTTTTTTTATTGCAGTTACTTTTAAGATTTGTTCCTAATTTTTTGTCGCCGAACCGATCTACACAAATTTCAACAGGGCGACTGTCACAGGAAAACGGTCTACCTTCAAAATAAAATTGACGTCCAAAATTGCAGTCGTAAACTCTGTAAATTAGCCTTTTCGGCACATCTTCAACTTGGGTTGCTCGAGTCCTAGATAATGAATTTCGGGGAATGTAGCAGGTGTCTAACATTAATTTAAATAAGGCACAGTACAGAAGAACAACTGACGCCAGGTTCTTGAAGTGATGTGTAATGCATATGATACTCAAAATACTTGTCAGTTTTCCTATAATTAGAGACACATGAATAGCAAATCTCAATGCGGTATCTATATACATGTCAAGGTCTTTTACAACAAATATATGTGTGTCTAGCGTTCGTCCCAAAACGTAATCGTATTATAACAAAGTGACGTCTGCACATTGACCAGACATTTGTTTTCGAAGTATTAATTGATAACATGTTGGCTGAACGTCGTTCGACTATCCGAGATATATTTTACTGCAAAACATGGCAGTCAATAAAATAAGGCACATTATTGAAAAGCATACGATTATCATCAAAGCAAGGCATTTTTCACCTGCAAAGCTAAGTCATTCACATATATGAAAACAAAACGAGAAAAAAAAATGAATTTTTGGACGATACCGGAAGTTGAACGAAAATGTTTGAATACTGTTGTGTGTGCGAATTCTGTTTGGACGTTAATATAAGTAACTTAAAAACCAGGTAGACTGTTTGGTCCAATATATATACAAATAATTTGCAAAGTAACAACTCAAGGTTCGCTTTGTCAAAATCCGTGTACATAACAAAATATACACAATTTACTTGTCCTCTATTTGTAACAATAGGAGCAGAGTAGTTAAAAAAAAAAGCACTGGATTCTTTCAACCGAGTGACCTTTTAAAAACCCGTGCTGGCAACTAACAAACTTTGGTTGAAATAAAACAAAATTTGGTTTTAAATAAGGAACTCGAACACTTTATACCCGCACCAAACGGGCAACTCAAATGTCATTTACAACGAATGATACTTGAGCGGGCGGCCAATCAGCGACCGCCACTCCGGGCGTGGCGCATTCCACGCGCTACAGATTGCGAACTGATTCGCCGATCACACAAATGTCATTCGTTGTAAATGGCATTTGAGTTGCCCGTGTGGCAAGGGTATTATTTAGAATACCCGCACCATAAAAATTTTGGGCGGTAGTTAATCGTAAGAGAAGCATCCCAATGTTTTATATACGTACAACGACCGATTTCTTCCATAGATAGGCGAAGATGCCCTATAGCTGGGAGACAAGTGAAAGATGTGTGCCACCTGTGTATGTAAAAGCAATTTACTGCATACTTTAATAATGAAATTTGAAATATTAACTGTGCATGTGAATAACTTGGGTTTTATCCTTTTGATGGCATCTGAGATGCCGTTGCCGTCTATTCAAATAAAAAAAGTTGCCGTAGTTAATTTCAAAATACACTGGGCGTACAATAGGGTACACAGTTGTGTAGCATGCAGCGATATAGCCTGCAAATACATTAGCAATTTTTGAAG